TGACATACAGACCATCCCCCAGCACAGCCAAGTGCAGACCATCTCAGACACCTGCACTCAGGCCCATGGTCCTAATCATCCTCTATGCGGACCTGCTGGGTAACGCCACAAAGAACCCAAGAAGGGCTCCCACAGGACATACAGAACATCCCACAGCAGCAGAGCCTCTATTCTAGTAGTTCTCAACCTTCCTAATGCTGAGACCCTTTGATATAATTCCTCCTATGGTGGTGATCCCCAACTATAAAAATTTATGTTGCTGCTCCATAACTGTAATTTCACTACTGTTATAATCTATAGTATAAATATCTGATATAAGACTCCTGTGGAAGTGCTATTCAACTAGCCTAGGTTTCATGACCCACAGGTTGAGAAGTACCTTTATACCCTGACATTATCCTCCTTCTTAGTGATCGTCTTACTAAGTTGGCCAGTGCCTTTTACAGTGCATTCAGGACCACTAGCACTTTCTTCAAAGGGGCTAATTATAGAGAGCCTGGTTGAGAGCCACCCACCCCCACTTAATTGATAACTAAGGTCTGGAGAGGGAAAGTGAAAATCTAAGTTCATATGGTTTCTGGGTAACAAAGCTCACAAGATGAAATATTTCCACCATGTCAGCAATAGTAGAATGCTTAATTACTGCTTAATGGGCTATACTAGTAGAAGATGGATGATCTGAACTGTGGGAGACTGGCTCAAGAAGTTTCAGAGGAGAAGAATTTTAGTATATTACCTAGGGATGGTTCTTTTCATATTTTGCTGAAGAATACAGCCGCTGTTTGCTCTTGTCTGAAAAGTCTGCCTGTGGCTAATTTGAAGAGTTTTAGATTAATTCCATTGGCAGAGGAAATCTCAAAACAGACTCACTTGCTTATTATTGTTAACTTTAATGAAGATTTAAAATAAAAAAGAGCAAGCTGAGCAAGGAAAAATCAAAATTCACAATTTGAGGAGAAAGGGAACACAAAGTAGAATGGAATTAAGCCCTGTGTTCAAAGAGATAAACAGATTAAGAAATGAAATAAAGGGAATGGTGACGTCAGGGCAAGATCCCACCCAAGAATGATTCTAACACGTAAAAAGGAATTAAAGAAAGTCTTAGATCCAGGTATGGTGGTGTACACCATTAATCTCAGTGGTTCAAAGGCAGGCCAGTGGATCTCTGATTTTCAGGCCAGCCTGGTCCACAGAGCAAGTTTCAGAATGTCCAAGGTTAGGCAGTCAAGGAAACCAGAAAACTGGTGAAGATGTCATGGAACAGGGAGCTCCAGCCACTGCAAGCATTCGAACTTGGCAAGTTTGGCCACATGGTTATGGCTTTACAATCAAGAAGTTACCAAGGAAATCTATTGAGGCTATGCATGTGTCATGGGTATCCCTGAATGGAGGCCTAGAGAGGCCATTTATGAAGCTGTGAAGGTGAAAACTGAGTTGCCTTGGCAACGTCAAGATATTGGAAATGCCAGAGTCATAGGATACCTGCTAAGGAAAGCTGCTAACAGAAAGTAGAACCAGCCCAAGAGATAGAAGTATGTTACAAGTCAACCAAGCTGAAAGGAGTTGGAGGTCTGAAGAACATTTTGACATCAGACATAGAGATGCAGAGTGTAGAATTTGCCCAGTGGTTTTTCAGTCTTGCTTTGGTCCAGTATTTTCTCACTATGCTCCCTTCCATACATTTTGAAATAGTAATATATATCCTATGCCATTATATATTGGAAGTTCATATTTTTTTTTTAATTTTCATTTTATGAGGCATTGCAGTTAAGAGACTGAATGAGTTTCAGAAGAGACTTTAAACTTTGAAATTTAAAACATGTTGATACTTTGATAGACTATGGGGACTTTTGAAGTTGGACTAAATGAATTTTGCATTGTGATATTGTTACAAGCTTATAGGGTCCGGAGAGTGGAATGTGGTAGTTTGGACGTATTTGTCCCGATAATCTCATAGGGAGTGGCACTATTAAGAGGTGTAGCTTTGTTGGAATAGGTATGGCCTTGTTGGAGGAAGTGTGTCACTTTAGGGTTTGGCTTTGAGGTCTCCTATGTTCAAACTATGCTCAGTGTGACACACATTTCACTCCCTGTTGCCTTTGGATCAAGATGTACAAATCTCACCTTGTTCTTCAGCACCATCTCTGGCTGCGTGCTACCATGTATGCCATGGTGATAATGGACTAAGGCTCTGAGTAAGCCACCCCAATCAAATGTTTTTTTTATAAAAGAGTTTCCATGGTCATGGTGTCTCTTTACAGCAATAAAAACCCTAACTAAGACAAGGGATGTAGCAAATCACCATTTATCAGGAGTTTCTGGGTATCTTAACACTAACCAGATTTGAGTGACCAAACCTTTGGCGGGATTAAGATCAGAGTGCATTTGGGAGCACATGTTAAACAGACAAAAGAGCAAAGCTCATCTCACCCTCGATATGTGGTTAATTTAAATCTTGGTCTTTGTCTAATGAACATCAGCATCCCCTTCCATAAAAACTGTATGAAACTTCACTACAGAAATTTGAAAATGAAGGTAGAATCCCATGCCTACATATGTGCTTACAAATTCTACTTGTCACTGCAGTTGTTACTAGATGTGAGATCATATATTTATTCTTTGCCATTGTTAGCTGCAGCAAAATCCATAAAGGCACAAGATGGCATTGTCTCTAGATTGTTCTTGCCCTTTCCATGGAATATCTACTTAAGGAGCAGAAACCTTTAAACTAGTGGCTCTCAACTTTCCCAATGCTATAACCCTTTAATACAAGTTCCTCATGTTGTGGTGACCCCCCAACCATAAAATTATTTTTTGTTGCTACTTCATAACTGTAATTTTTCTACTGTTATGAACAGTAATATAAATATCTGATATGTACAATATGGTATGTGGACCCATGTTGTTCCACCATCAGAGGGATCTCGACCACACAGGTTGAGAACTATTGCTCTATACCCTGAAATCCATCTCTTTCTTAATGATTCTCTCATTAAGTTAGCCAGTGGCTTTTACAGCACAATCAGGACTGTAAGCACTTCTTCCACAGGGGCTAGAGAGCTGATAACCATGATAAGGAAGAGTGCTAGGGCTCAGTGAAGTACTGTATCATTAGATTTCTGAGGGAAAGAAAAATGTCTGGCCCCTGAAACTGTTCTAATGCAGACCTGTGCAATCTAGGAAAATTATGTCCTGAGAGTGAAGTTGAACATGGTTCTGCTTTGGCTGGATTTTAAGGACATTG